ATGAAAACAGTAGTCAGCTTAACAAAACCATGGTGCTAGGGTTTGAGCTCTGTTGAGCTTGCATATTGTATGCTTGCTGCAGACCCACACACTGTGATTTCTAGATCTTTTTAAGCCAGACTTCAATTAAACCCAGCTCTTTGCAGGATCCAGCCTTCCTTCTTACAGGGAGCACTTAGAAAAAAGGCAACCCAATGGGGGGAAAAATAAAATTCAACCCAACGCGTCCCTAATTTCTCATAAAGATGATTGCACTTTTTGTTTTCTTACAGTTTTTTTTTTTACATAGTTGGAGTCATAATTGACTTATTTTGCTTTCCACTTTTAAAATGTTAAATCTGTGGTTCTCAACAAGGGGTGATGTTGCTCCTCTGGGGACATTTAACAAGGTCTAGAAGCATTTTTTATGATTACAACTGGGGTGGCACCGAGTTGGGGACAACCAGGGACACTGCTCTACTTCCCACAATGCACTGGAAAGCTCCTCCAAAGCAAAAGAACACCTGGGCCCAAATGTCAGAGGTGTGGAGATTAAGAAACACTGCGTTCGATCGTTAGTTTAAAATGAGTTTCTACTGTAAAACTTGTTCTCAAGCAGTTTTTTTGGTGTGTGTGCGCAAATTGCTGAAATCTTCACTTAGTATAGAGTTGGTCTTCTGTGCATAAAGTTAATGGAAAATGAATTTTAATGGAGAATGGGACAGGGAATGGGAGAGGGAGGAGGAGGTGGGGTGAGAGTGGGGGTGGGGGGTATGGTGGGAAGAATCACTGTACTCCTAAAGTTGTACTTATGAAATTTGTACTCATTAAATAAAAGGTTTCTTTGGGAAAAAATAAAAGTAAAAAAAAAATAAAATGAGTTTCTAGTAGGGTCGGCGCTGTGGTGTAGTGGGTGGAGTGGCCTGCAGCGCTTGGCATCCCATATGGGCGCCGGTTCTAGTCCCGGCTGCTCTATTTCTGATCCAGCTCTCTGCTGTGGCCTGGGAAAGCAGTGGAAGATGGCCCAAGTCCTTGGGCCCCTGCAACCTGTGTGGGAGACCTGGAGGAAGCTCCAGGCTTCTGGCTTCAGCCCAGCTCTGGCTGTTGCGGCCATCTGGGGAGTGAGCCAGCTTGGCAATGGAGGCCTGACCTCTCTCTCTCTCTCTGCCTCTCTGTAACTCTGCTTTTCAAATAAATAAATACATCTTTAAATAAAAAATGAGTTTCTAGTTTGAACACTCACCCTTTTTAAGGGTTGAATCAAACCCCCTCGTTGAGAGGGCTCTGTTGGCACTGAGGTCATCGTTTCCCTGAGCTCAGACTCCTAGGGGGTTTCTAATTTCCGCTGCTATAGATAATGCTGCAATGGACATCCTCACTCACTTTCCTCTGCTCCATTATTTCCTTAGGGTAAGTTCCCAGAAGTCAGAAATGTGGAATCAATGCGTGTGGGTACATCTTCGCATTTCAATACAACTCACGAGTCATATCAGCATTTTGCTCAACAAATGTGGTGCAGTGGGTTAAAGCCCCAGCCTGCAGCGCTGGCATCCCATATGGACGCCGGTTCGAGTCCTGGTTGCTCCATCCAGCTCCCTACTTATGTGCCTGGGAAAGCAGAGGAAAGCAGCGGGAGATGGCTCAAGTCCTTGGGCTCCTGCACCCACGTCAGAGACCCAGAAAAAGCTCCTGGCTTTGGATTGACCCAGCTCCAGCCATTGCAGCCATTTGGGGAGGGAACCAGTAGATGGAAGACCCTCTGTCTCTACATCTCTCTGTAAGTCTCTTTCACATAAAGAAAACAAATCTTAGAAAAAAAAAAAAAAAAGAAAAACAAATGGGTTGCACCAAATTACCATCTGCCAGAAGTGAAAGTGTCCTAGTTTTACCCAAACCTTGGCAGCACTGGGTGTTACCATTAAAAACCATGGGAGGAGGCATGAATCTCAAGTATAAAAATAGTATCTCTAGTTTGTCTCAATAGGCATTTAAATTGCTACGCAGGATGAGCCATTTTGCCATATTTGTTTTCCCATATTATTTTTTGATTTGAATTGCTCATGTCGTTTGCTTATTTTTCTAACTGGTTCTCCATGTTTGCATTTTAAAATGGAATGCAACCTTTACTGCACACACGTAGTAATGTTGAAGGCAGTGCAGTCACTTTTTGTTTTGGTTTTCTTTCTCCCGGCATGGCAGCGCTGTCTAATGCTTCCTTCTGGAATTTTCGTTTACCCCTTCAGTACTCTCGCTGCCGGGCACGGTCACTTTCTCTCCCCTGCGGCCTCCACACACGGAGAGGGAAAGCTTGTGGAGCCATTCCTGTCGGTGACCCAAGTGGGAGCAAGACTCCGCTCTGAAGCCATCCCTTAATCAAACGAAGGGCCAGAGGAGGAGCCGCAAGGCTGAAAGGGAAACGGATCCGCACAACACCGAATGCTGCGAGGAGTCTGAAAGACCTGCATTCAAGAAAGGGCACGGTACCTCCAGGACTCGCGAGCTGCCGGGGCTCCACGTGCAGCTATTAATATGCAAAAAATGCCTTCATAAATACTTGATTCTGGTCACAGTGGGGAGGCAGCGCATTTGAAAGAGGAAATGGGAGCTTGGAGTTGAAACATGTCTGCTTGGCTCCTTTGGCTTTTTTCATTGCTCTTTTCATCTCCACATTTCCCTTGTAGCTTTCTTCCCCCGCCTCCCCTCCCCACCCCTCGCCCCTCCGACTGCAGCCCCTCTTCCAAACTCCGGGGAAGTTGCTGATTCAGTTGTTGCTCGCACTTCGCTCGACGGATTTCCCTTGGCCGCGGCCCGGATCCCCGGCCCAGGCGTGGAGGGGCTGCCAGGGGAGCTCCGGCCGGCAGCTCGCCACCCGCGCGCTGGGGATCCGAGCGCCAGCTCCACGCTCGCCCACGGCCGCCGCGGGGAGACCGAGCCGCAGTTTCCGATCCCGCCAGCAGGAGGCACCCGGAGGCGGCCTGCAGAGCTGGGCAACTGCGTGGCCCCAGCTTTGTAGGCTCAACCCCCTGCCAGGGATCCTTTTCCAGTTCCAGCCCTGTGACTTCTGAAAGGGTGCTGATACCAAAATACTCCACCTTTGGGATTTCCGCCCCCCAGCGGGCACTGTGATTAAAAATAAAACGAAGGCTTTTTTTCCCCCCCTGTGGCTGAGCTCAGGGAGGCTGGGGCGGAGGAGTGGGGAGGGTCCACGGTGGGCGGTATCTTCGCCCGCAGCAGACTGGGGCGGCCCCGGGGGGGCAGCGACCTGCCGCCTTCGCCAGTGGCCCATCAAGGTAGGGAACTGAATGAAGTCTGCTGGGCAGAAATTTGTTTCTAAATCCTTTCCAGATGCTCTGTAGTAAACATGAAATTAGTCATTTACGTGGAGTAGGTTGAGGAAGTAGTTAAGATGGAGGCCAGTGATTAATCTAATAAAGGGCCATTAGCCTGCAGAAGCCAACGGCGTGAGGGAGGCCAGGAAGACGCCGGTCGCTGCCCGCCCAGCCCGCTGTCTCTGGGTTGGGGGCCGGTGGTGGCCTCTCTTTGCCCGTCCAGGGCTTTTTTGTCTGGCTTCTTTCTGAAGGAATTCGGACTGCCCAGCTGGTTCCAGTGGGCACGAGGCCCTCCACGGCAGGTGGGCTTGCCACAGCCTCGCAGGGAAAAGCCGTGTTTAGGGTCTGGGGACCCTAGGCTTCGCGGACCTCATCTGGCATGGCTTAGCCTCTCTTTCACCCCAGCTGTTGCCAGGTCCCCCAGAGCTGTGTGTACCTGGGGTGTGGGAGGCATCGGCGAGGCCAGTGTCCTCGGCAGCCAGCGGGGAGGGGAGCTCAGGTGTGGAGCACCTCACAGGGGGCCTGAGCCGTCCCCGGGGGGAGGGGGGGCCCACAGAACCCAGCTCAGGCACACAGATGAAAACAAACTCAGGAGAAAGCCCGGCTGTGGCAGGAAATCGGAGAGGAGGGTGATGGGGAGATGATGGCGCCAGAGGCTAGCACGCAGCAAGGAGAGAGACCCCAGAGCCCCCTGGAGCTGCGTGTGCCGCTTGTGCCTCAGGTTTTCTGAGACCCGGGTTTCGGCTCCAGGAAGTCCCGAGTGGGCTTTCTAAAGAGAATCTGAAGACAGGCTCAGCCTCAAAGCTTCCAATGAAGTAACAAACTTATAAATATTTGTGAACACAAGTCTTTGAACCACTAACCCACCCAGATGAAGCGTTTTCCTCCCTTCTTCAGGATTATCCTTGGATTTCTTTTCTTGATTGCTAATTTTCTCTCCCCTTTGGGAACGGAAGCCGGGGCTCCCTGAGTTTCTGTGTCACCTTATCTTTTTCTGACCTGATCTCTGACTTCTGCAAAAGTCCGGGAAAGTCGGACGATACAGTAGCCCTCTCTTACCTGCGTCTTGCTTTCTGTGGTTTCAGTTACCCAAGGAAGATTCCGGAACTAAAGCACATGTTTGAAACTGTGTGCCATTTTGAGTGGCCTGATAAAATCTCACGCTGCCCGGTATGGCCCCACTCAGCATGCGAATAATCCCTCTGTCCGGCGGGTCTGCGCTGTATACTCCACCTGCCCGTTAGTCTTTCAGTGGCCACCTCCATTGTCGGGTGCCCTGTCAAGGTATCGCACTGCTTGTGTTCCAGTAATCCTTATGCTACTTCACAGTGGCCCCAGAGTGCATGCGGAGTGACGCTGGCAATTTGTTCATGCCAAAGAGAAGACTTAACGTGCTTTCTTTAAGTGAAAAGCACACATGTCTAAGGGAAGAGAGTCTGTATAGCGCTGGGTGCTATCCATGGCTTTAGGCATTCCCTGAGGGCCTTGCGACGCATCCTGCATGGGTAAGGGAACTACGGTAAGGTAGGAGTTGGGTTCCGACATCCCAGGTCTAACAGCAAAGGGGCCACTGTGATGTCTTCTGCTTGCCTCACTTCACTGTTAGGCTCACGAGGCCCAGGGAAGCCTGAGCAAGGGTCTCACCTAGGATCACACAGCAAGCTTCACGCTCGTTCACAACCAGCACTGTACCTGCTCCTCTGTCGTCTGGGTCAAAGGTGAGGTTTCAAAAAGATCCACGTGAAGACTAGTTCTGGATTCAATGTTTGCTGTGGTGAAAAATGAGAGAGAAGAAGGATCAAGGTTGTCAGATCTAGGTCTCATGAATGTTTATCTATATCATACACATACACGGCTAGTATATATGTACATAAGGTTATAAGCATGTCCACACTGGTGGCACTCATGTGGACTCCCCGAGAGAGCCATCTCCAGGTGTAGTCTAAGGAGCGTGTTAAATAGGCTACCCCGATCTTATGCTCAGGTTATAGCTTTCTTGTTTTGGTTGCTCTTGAAAAGAAACAGTAAATTCTTTGTGCTATTAAAATTCATATACAGCTGAAATTAAAAAGGAAATATTGATGGAGGAAAACCTGCTGATGCTGGTGAATATGAATTTTGTATGTTCGCTCTCCACTGAAGTAGGAAAATGCTTCTGCCACCTTCCAGAGAGAGAGATCACAGACTCGCCTTTCCCCTTGTAATGTGGAGGGGCAGCAGGAGAGGCAGAAACATGACACAGAGGCCCAGGCCAAGGCAGGGCCTTGGGAGGGGAAGGGATTCACAGGGGCCGGGCACCTGCACCATGTGGACCGGACATGATGTAGGCGTGTGCTCCCCACGGCACCGGGCTGCGGTCGGTGTCATCACTATTTCCTGCGGGCGTGGAAGCTGAGGCCGATAAGGTTGAACAACTCACGGACGCTGTACAACCAGGGAGGTTTTGAGTCCAAGATGTGTAAAAGGATGGGATTTATTTCATCTTTCTCCCGCCTCCCCAAGAAATTAACGTTTATAAAGGAAAGTTGATTTGAGGACGAGATTTAGCGAAGCTCATGGCTCTACTGACAAGGATTTTGGTCCCTTCTATGGGACCAGCGTCCAACAAGCTGTTCTGCTCCTAGACGGTACTTGTAAGTAGCTCTAGTGAGAGCCCGTGACCATCTGGGATTGTGCGTCTGGGTCTCTTTGACCTGAAGCCTCCACTCCTTCCTCTTGGGCTGACCTTCCCTTCCCTGGTGTTTCTCAGCTGTCTTCTTTGAAAACGCCTTCTGCCTCGCTGTAATGTATTTCTTCTTTAACTCAGCTTGGGGGAAACCGAGGCCCGGTTTCACGCACTTGGCTCAATGCAAGCCCAGGACCCAGAACCCAGACATCCTGCCTGAGTCTCATCCTCTCTCCTCCGCACCGCATTCCCTCCTGTTGGCTTCACTTGAACTTGCCACATCACAGCTGCTTGGCCACGGTCCCTCTTCCGGACAGATCTAGCCGAGCAGAACTGTGTTGCGATGTGGTTCACTTCACTGTGGCTTGGAAGGAACCACGAGTCTCTTAGAAAGGAAACTTATAAATTCTAATGCATAAGGAAACTTCTTGCGACACCAGGAGAATGAATCAGTCAGCCAGAGTTCAAGAAATATAAACACGTTTTTAGATAGGAGACTGAAAAATCACTTAGGACTTCTCCATCTCTTGGGTCAAGACCTTGGTAATTTACTGAGGTCCAAGCTGTCAAGGAGGAGACAGAACTCAAACTGCATTCCTGGGCGATAAAGCAATGGGGGTGGTGAAACTTCCTCTTGGAACAATATGGCAGGATCTACCCCTGTTATCAAGTCAGAGAAACCGACTGACCCATCAACCAACCCTGGCAACTGGCTGGGACCACAGGGCCCGGTTCCTTTTCATCTTTCAGGAGCTGGTGTGCGCAGTCACAGATTACAGACTGCTCAACTTCCAGGCATGCCTGAAAGTAGGAGCTCATGGTCCCTCCGTGATGAACACTTCTGCCACGAGAGAGATAAACAGAAAACACATTCCTGCCCTGGCTGCCCACCGTCAGGCCCAAGCAGATTTGGCATGCTAGCATTAATCTAACGGCAGGCTTTTAGCGAGGAGATAGCGTTCCCACCAGATAACCAGGCAGCTCCAGCGATGACCCTTCCGAGACGGGGGTCTTGTCCTAACCCTTGCCTGCCTTCTCCACACCATGGGCGGCCTCAGCAGACACTCACTGCTGGAGAGCATCTGATTCCGGCATGGAAGACAGCCCCTTCAACTTCCTGCCCCTGGGGTCTGGGTTGACTATATTTAATCCCCAAGTTGCCCTTGTGTGTTGCGTTTTTTCCCCCCCACTTTTTGACAGGCAGAGTGGACAGTGAGAGAGACAGAGAGAAAGGTCCTCCTTTTCTGTTGGTTCACCCCCCAAATGGCCGCTTCGGCTGGCACGCTGCAGCTGGCACATTGTGCTGATCTGAAGCCAGGAGCCAGGTGCTTCTCCTGGTCTCCCATGCGGGTGCAGGACCCAAGCACTTGGGCCTTCCTTCACTGCACTCCCGGGCCACAGCAGAGAGCTGGCCTGGAAGAGGAGCAACCGGGACAGAATCTGGCGCCCGGACTCAGACTAGACCCCGGTGTGCCAGCACCGCAGGTGGAGGATTAGCCTACTGAGCTGCGGCATCGGCCATGTGTTGTGTTTTGAGTCTGTTTGTTTAATGCAGATGACCAAGAGCCAAGATGGCCTTTGGTACTGTCATTATCAAATTCTTGGGACCAGATTTAAGTAAAATGGAGACATGGTCATATTATTCCTATGGTTTCAGAATACTTAGGTGCTTTGGTATTGGGTACTCTGGGGACCTCCTCTGGTGTCCCAATACCTATTTCCAGTGGGTCACCTTATCAGGCCAGATGGGCCACCTGGCTCTTTCCTGGACGCTTGGCAGGCCTTGGGAAAGAACATCAGGTCTGCAGGCTCCAGATGGCCAACTTGGTTATGAGGAGAGGAGGTACATGGCAGAAGCTCCTTTAAATCAATCTCCGTAGGGTCTTTTCCACACATACCATTTCCGAGCCATGAGCACTCTCGGATTGCTAATATTCTCTTATGGAAATTCCCCCATAACTTGCAGTGGTCCGTCTTTGGGGAGGGGGACATATCTGTCATCAGACAGATCTCAGAAAGCGCTGTTGCTTTCTCTCAGCTTCGCACACGGATCTGCCTCCAGCAGAAAGCAACAGGAGAAAGCCTAAATGTCAGCCTTGGTCCCTTCACGGTTTTGTTTTGGGTCATAAATGGAAAATACAAATGCAAATGCCATATTTAAAAAAATATTTCCAGTATAAACTTAGCTATAAAAGGAAGGATAATTCTAGTCCTGCTGACCTTTTCTTAAGAATATCTAAAAATATTTTATTTTATATGATGTGATTCAAGACACCTCTGACCTGTAGAGTGTTTGCAGGGTTCTAATAAATTTTGAGTCTGCCTGTTTAATGCAGATGACCAAGAGCCAAGATGGCCTTTGGTACTGTCAGTATCAAATTCTTGGGACCAGATTTAAGACCCTGTTTATGCTACACATTTTGCCTTTAAATCTTCCTGGAGGAGTAGGAGGCTGAGATGGGCATATCAAACAGCTGCTGGGGACTTGGGAAACGTCTCCAGGTTAACACATATCCCTAGGAGCTCCAGTTAAGGAGGCACATAGATGCTTCTAGAATATGTGAGCCAGTCTGAACTTAAATAAGGAAATGTCTAGTAAATGCATTGTTTTTCTTCCAGTTTGAAATAATGGTCTTTTCAGATGAAGACTAGCTTGGTCTCAAGGGTCTGGCTTGAGCATGGGAACACCAACTCCTCTCAAAAGTTATAAGTCACTTTTTATGAAGAGGCCTGAAGGTACGTGGGCAGTTAACCAAGCCCCAAATGGAAGCCAAGCCAGATGATAGAATTTGTTTTGTTGTGAGGCAACAGACTATCGACTGCATGACAAGCCGTCAATCTCAATTCAGGACAGGATTAAAGACCTGTGGAGGAGAAAGGCGGCTTGGTTTGATTCCTGGCTCCAGCTCCTGATATCAGCTTCTGCCAGTGCATCTTCTGGGAGGCATGGTGCTGGCTCCAGTAATTAGGTTCCTGCCGCCCACAGGAGTGGGAGACGGGATTGTGTTCCTGGCTCCAGGCTGTGGCCTTGGCCTTGTCCTGGGAATCTGGGCAGTGAAGCAGCCAGCAGATGGGTGTATGCTCTGTCTCTGCCTGTCTTCCTGCCTTTCAGATTAAAACAAAGAAAAAAACCACAAAAAACTGGTGGTGAGAGTTGACACCCTTAACCTTATCTGAAACAAACCAGAACAAAAAGGCTGCAGGTGGATGAACCTGCAGAGCAGCCAGCCAGCTCAATTCACACGATGGTCTCAGTTCTCTAGAAGATAATGTTCTTGGTCACCAGCTCTCAAACAAATACAGACCTCTGATCTTCCAGCCTCTGGCCTTACCTCCTGCAACCCGCGCTCTACATAGCTGGGGGGCTCATTCCCCACCATCAAGGTCTGGGGCCCACGGCCATGGGATCAATTCTGGAGTTGCACCTGCCCATGGCTCCTCAGGGTCTGGCTTGTGCCTGCTCCAGGAGCAGCGTTTCTCACCCGCTCCTGTACATGACCTTGGGGGCCCACCAGGACAAGTGGTTTGCAATCCTCCTATGCTGCTGTGCTCTCAAATCCCCACATGGTTTCTCCAGCTGCAGCACCGGTTCTCCTCCACTTGACTCTTGCCCACGTTTGAAAGTTCTTCAACCAGTTCGTGGAACATGAAAATAAAAGATAAGTTTATTCTGGTGCAAAAAATTTTGAAACCTATGCATACAATGGGGCCTCCAAAAAGTATGTGGCAAATGGGTATTATGCATGGATTTCAAAAGTGTTTACACCAAAGTAAACTTATCTTTTAATTCTATTTTCCATGAACTCTTTGAAGTTGCCTTGAATAATCCTCAGATACTCTGTGTAAGTGTGCTTCCCTTCCAAAAGCTTTCTCAACTTCCAGACTAAACTCATTCATAGCTCTCAACGCATCGTGCCACCTTGGACAACTTAAGGCATAGACTGTCTCTCCTGACCGTGTTCTTATGCTCAGCATAGGATTGGTCACTATGTGATGGTCCACTGGTGTCTGCTGAATGAATGAGTGAACAGTCCCTGTGCTCTGTATAACAAACTCACTCATTCTTCCCATTGAACAGTTTCTAATTCTGGTATTTACACTAAC